TCTCTCTCTCTCTCTCTCGCTCGCTCTCTCTCTCTCTCTCTCTCTCACACACACACACACACACACACGAGGGGGCGGCTCGGGGCGCGGGCGACGGCCGGTGCCGGACCATAGCCGGTACTGCCGGTACCGTGACGTTACACACGTATACAGGGCGGTCCACAGGCCCCTTCCTTTATTTTGCTTATACTGTACCACATGCAGGCGTGCGGGCGGGCTTGCCTACCATCGCTCTCCGCGGCGCCTTATGGCCCCGTGCGAGTATGCAACCCGGCCGCACGTCTGCATCCGGTACAGTATAAGCAACATAAAGGAAGGGGTCTGTGGACCACCCTGTATACCACGTGCGAGCAGACCCACCCGGCGAAACACGCCAAACAACGGCGGGGCGATCAGATGTCCGGCACACGCTACGCCACGCCACGCCCCCTTCCTCCGGGCCGGCCGCGTAACGCCCGCTATGCTTTTGGAGCGGTGCGGCGGCCCGGGCGGGCGGGCGGCGGCAAGGTCACCCCATCGCGCTTTGCTCTGCTTTGCGCTGCTTTGCGCACGCGACGAGCTGCAGCCGCAACGGGATGCAGCCCCCGGCGGCCCGGCCCGGCGATGCGGCCGCGCTACCCCGCTGCGCGGTCGGCCGGAGCGGCCCAGAAGCTTTGCGTTAATGTTGCCACTATTTGTTTTCATGGCGCGAGCGCAGCTCGCCCCCACCCACCTAACCGGCCGGCGAGGCGACAGGTGTTGTCCGCACGGATTAGCACTTCCACGCGACAGCCTTGGGCCGCGCGGGGCGGGGCGGGGCGGGGCGCCGCTGCCATGGGGTGTGCGCAGGAGAGTGGCCAGGCCAGTACGACCGTTAGCCGCAGTTCGGCCCCTGCAAGCAGTGCGCGGGTGCGCTGGGTCACGCAACATGCTTGTGGTGCATTGGATTTAAACAGTGGCAGATGTACCAACGCCGCCTCCGTCCCCAGCGAGGGGTAGTTCAACCCCGCCGCCGAGCCTTCTGCAGCAGAGACAGCGCGGCGCGCTCGCGTGCCCTCGCGTTGCCTACGCTCCAGGAGGCGGCCCGTGTTCTCCTCTAACCCGCCCGCCCGCGCCGCCGCCGCCTCCCGCCAAAACAATCGCTGACCCCAACCCCGTCCTCCTGCCCGGCTATGGGAGGCGGGGCTAAATATACCACGTGCCGCCTGTATCGGGTAACCCGAGCTGAACCCAACGGGTTGGTCAACCGGAGCATCTCTCTCCTCTTATCGCGACGAGACTGTACGCCCCGCTCCGCCCCGCCCCGCTGCGGCCCCTCAGACAAAACATAAAACACTTTACAATAATGAGTCGAGTCGCGATAAATCGCTGTTGTGATTTATCGGTAGTCAACCCTATTGCATATGTGGCGCGCCCGCGTCTTCCGCATGACAACATGAGACAGTCGTTCGTCTCGCTGTCCCATCGCTCTGCCGGAAGGAAGTAGTGTGTGGGGGGGAGGGGGGTTAGTTTGTCACCACTAGCACATTTTTCAAGATTGTCGTTTCTTCAACTTCACCAGATTGCAAAAGAAATGAAATTGTTGTCTGTCGTTCAAAGTCTTTAACCGGGCTCGTTGTTATGCTCTGTTGCAGCACCCAAAGCAGACGCGGCCCGGCCCGGGCTCAAAGCCGAGGAGCAGCATGGACAAGAACAGAAACAAGGCAGCCACACGTAAGCCGAGCAGATGATGTCCATTGAACTGCTTCTTGTGGGCGTCCCCCGGGATCGTGTCGTTGCGCATGTCCATCATTGTATTTGTTTCGTCGCGTCCGCTGCACGACGGGTTCAGGAACTAACCTCGGATATTTTTTTTGTACGACGGAATCTATTAAATTTAATGCATTTTTCTCCGCAGTTTTCCATGCAGCGTGTTGTTTTCATTTGGTTTGTGATAGGCTAGGCCCTAACGAGCGCGGTGTGCGGCGGCCCGCGACTGCGGTCGCCGCCGTCCTTATGTCGTGTGAGTCACCTTGAGCGGCAGAAAAAAAAATTGGAATCAGAGACGAACGAGCGAACAGAGACGGATGGGAGATAATTTGAGCTATGAGAAAATACATTTTGTATAGGGGTTAAAAGCAAAAATCATGTTACAAGCGATACTTTGTTCTGGCTGTTCTGGCGCTGGCTGCCCACCTCCGCTGGCCACCCCTCCCCCGCCCGGACCCCTATATCCACGATAGATGTGCGAAGGGGTTGATGTCTACGCGAGATAAGATAACAAATGCATAAGGTGTTGGGGTTAAACTTCGCGTGCGCGCTCACGTGTGAGCGTTGCGCCAACATTTTATCTCGTGAAAAAGATAGGATGTGATATTGGAAAAAAAACGGCCTGTCCCTGTGAAAGTCGTAATAAATAGAAAAACAGCACGTGACACCTTTAGACCTTTAGTGTCTTAGTGCAAGAGTCTAGTGTCTAATCAGAGACGCCCCCCCCCCTCCTTGAGTGGCACATCTCAGATAAATCTCAAGATAAATCGCACTGATAGTGGGCGAAGCGCCGATTCGCCTTACTCATCAAACAGTGCAGCCGAGGACGAGGACGCATTCACTGAACAACAACTGGCGCCCATTGACGCCCTGATTAATCTCGAGCTCTGGCACTACCGGCCTCTTAACAGTTTGGCTTTCTCAAAGCCCTTACCAACATGGGCCCCCTTGTAGTTCTGCTTAGCAATATGTGGACATTCCGCCCGCAGTCCAATAAAAAGTCGAAAGGTACAGTGATATTTTCGAGATCGGCCTCGGTAATCGCATGTGGCCCCCCTTCCTAGAAAAATCCTACTATCCCACAAAGATTGAAACCGACATCGCAATCGGCGAGCGGGGAGCAGCTGCGGCGACCCTCGGAAGCACGGCCGCGACTCGAGCCGGTCGTAAAGATCTCGTAGATTTGTGTCTGGGTGTCCGGGTCAGCGAAGCGGGGTTGCACTTCCCATCGCTTCCCATACTCCAGAGTCAGGCGGCCATCAGATGATCTGAGCGAGGCTCTATCCGAGGCTCCATCAGAACTCGAGCAGCGGAGGCTCTAGCCGAGGTGCGAGGGGGCGAGGGGCCCCATGGCGATGTCAGCATCCTGCAGATGCGTGTGTTCCAGCAGCAGATGTCGTCGCCGAGGACGACGGCGGCTGGTTCTCCTCCTGGAAGCTGCCCACGCTGCCGGACCTGCTCGCGTTCCCAGCGGCCACCCTGGGCTGGCCCTCGGGCGGCACGGCCGACCCCAGCCAGCCTAGCCAAGACGGCTGTAAGCACTGCGACCGGGTTCAGTGGTGGCGGATAAATAACAATTGTCAAGAATCCACGGATACGTGTGGATCACGGAGCTTTATTTTATGTTTCTAAACATGGGAACTGATTCCGATCCTCTATGTATTTATTTTTTCGTTTTGGTCTCTGCTGTAATTTTTGGTTCGTCTCTCATCCTTCACGTCTCTGCTCTCGCGTACTCTCTCCTTGATGCGTTTCTTCGGTCAGCGGTCGCAGCCATGGTCTCTGTGAGGGATGGCACTTGGGCTTGACGCCGCCTGCGCACGCCCGGGTGGCCACACGCATGCACTCTGTGCTTCTTGCATATCTCGGCCTTTCGCATTTATCTAACCAATGTTCTCTGTTTTTTGTTATGTGTGTGTGGACCTTTTCAGATTGTGGTGTTGCATGTATGTGTTTGCCTGTGTGTGTCGGTGGACGTCCAGGACTGAAACTCCTACCCCTTTCCCTCGCAGGTCCCGTGGTCAAGGTCAAGGATGGCTTCCTCCGCGGCCGGACCCTCCGCACCGAGGGTGGCACCACGTACTACGGGTTTCGCGGCGTGCCGTACGCCAAGCCGCCTATCGGAGACCTGAGATTCAAGGTAAGTCAGCTGTTGTTTTTTTTTTTTTTTAAACGGACCCGTTTCTGCCAGACAGTTGGGGCGCGGGGCGCGGGGGGGAGAGCGTCATGGTTCAACACCACCTGTTGAGCAGCACCACACCCACGTTACGTTACGTCTTACGTTACGTCTTACGTTACGTCTTACGTTACGTCTTACGTTACGTCTTAC